GCCTTTAATCCCTGCGATCAGGGGGCAGAGGCAAATGGATCTCTGAGTTCAAGGCAGCCTGGTCTATAGAGGGAGCACTAGGACAGACCCTTGATCCCCCTTAGTAGGCCTACCTAGCAGTTCAGATTATAAGCACGAGCCATCAAACTTAGCTGGAGTCTGTTGAAAGCAGATACTAAATTGTCTTGCATCTTTTAGCTCTTCTTTTGTGTCCAGATGCAGAGGTCCTGGTCACCAACATCTTCCCAGAAAAAAAGTTTAACTGGGCTGAGAGATGGCCCAGCGGTTAGGAGCACTGAGTGCTCTCCCAGTGGACCCAGGTTCAACTCCCAGCACCTACATGGTGTCTCATAGCTATTTGTAACTCCAAGATCTGACACCTTTGCATATATGAAGGCAAAAAAAAAACCTAATACACATAAAATAAGATAAATAAAATTTTAAAATATGTTCTCACTTTCTTTTGAGCTTTAGAATTTTATTACTGTTTTTTCCAGTCTCCCATTCTCTTTTTCTTCTGTCGGTTTGTTTGGAAGGCCCTTTAATCTTATATTCACAGACTTGAGGAAGAAGTGGCGCTTATGTATGTGTTCAATCTGCATCTTTAGTAAGAAGTAAGAGCATTCACTAGTTCCAGAAGTTTTTGACAAACTGCTATCGTTTTACAGGTATCCTTGGTGGTGGTGGTAATGAGAGACTAAGGCAGAACATTTGAGGTTTATGGATATATATGTATGAGATATGATGTACTCATTACTATTGATTGTCCACAGGATCTAGGCAAGCCTCGGGTTAATTGTGGTGTGAAGGCCTACCCTGAATGAGGGCGGCAGCAGTCTATGGGCTATGATCTTGAACTTCATAAACAGAGCATGCTTGCTGAGCATTAGCATTATTGCTCCTTTCTGACAGTGTGTGCAGTGTGACCAACAGCGTCCCAGTCCTGTCACCTGCCTTCCCCGTTGTGATGGACTGTATCCATGGCCAAAATGAGCCCTTCATTCTTTAAGTTGCCTCATGTCAGGTATTGTGTCAGAAATATTTTGACTTCGTTCAGTCTAAAGACAGGTTAAATATGCTTATGTGTGGATTCATGGAGGGGCTGGAGAGAGAGCTCAGTGGTTAAGAGCTCTTGGTGCTCTTCCAGAGTTCAGTTCCTAGCATTCATGTTGGGTGGCTCGCAACTGCCTGGATTTCTGGGCCTCGGGTATCTGGTGCCGCCTTCTGGCCTCTGCAGGCATCCTTACACAAGTACACCTACACACAGAAACACATAAATAAAAATGAATTAAAATTTTTAAAAAGATTGATGGCATTCTGTGGGTCTTTTTACAATAATAAGGTTTAATCAATGCTCACAGTTGTTGAGTCATCATTGTACAGCAATAAGTAGAAACAGTGGGAATCTAAGGGATAAAGTATGGTCATAGGAGACATGAATGGTCGGTAAATTTGGAGAGGCAGGAGTATATTTCATAGGAGACAGCTTTAGCAAGAGTGCTGATAATATACCTCGAACAATATGTGTTGAGTTCTACCTAAGGGGTTTGTCAATTGAGTGATAAAGCTGGAGGTGAAAGATAGCATTAGATTATAAGAAGTAAACTAGGTTTTTAATTAAAGGCAATACAGAGAGTATCAGTTCTTGGTACAGTAAAAATAGCAATTTTTTCCATCAGTGTATCAATAAAAGATATATTCAAAATAAGAGGCTAACGATGAGATAAAAGATGCCAGGTGTGGCTCATGCCTTAGGAAGCAGAAGCAAGCCTAGTCTTTGTTTCAGCATGGTAGCACAGGCCTTTATTTAAGCCTAGCGCTTGGGAGGCAGAGGCAGATGGGTCTCGATGTGGTGGAGGCCAGTCTGGTCTATGGAGCGAGTTTCAGGACAGGCAGGCAGGGCTACACAGAGAAACCCTTTCTCACAAAACAAACAAGAAAGAAAAGAAAATTTCAGCCAGGTTAGAGTTATGAGTAAAAGAGGTTGGGGTTTGGGGGGCAGTGGCTTGTAACAGGAACACTTGTGTATTATGTGGTAGACCTGTTTTCTTTATGTAGTTAGTATGGTAGTCTTCAGTTTGCAGACAGAAAATTGAGGCACAAAATGATGAGGTGTGTGTGGGTGCCTAGAATGGTGACATGGAGATGAAGAGGTGGATTTACTCCAATGTGAACTAGTGACATTGGATTAAATTAGTATTTTGCTGTGGTTAGTGAGGATGTTAGTCTTTTCTGTTTCCACTCTTTTTAACTCTTTTCTTTTACAGAGATGGCATGGGTTTGGGGAGCATAACCTATTGGACAGACTAATATAGATAGCAGAGGTAAAAGCCACCAATTCTAGAAAAAGTAACAAACAATGATTAGAAACTTTAGAATTCTTCCTTCTAGTATTAATGCCAACATAGATCATTTTTCAGATGTGTTCAGGTATTATTGGATAATACCTGAGTATTGAGTATTTTTGAGTATTGCTCATTCAAGGTAAGCGCTCTGCCATGCAGCTTCCTGCATGCATTCCTGATTCTGGAATGCCTTTGCTACTCAAGGGAACAGTGTAGTGTTTCTTAGGTGCCCTCTGATCCTCCTGTGTTCTAGGTATGGGTAACCGAGCTTATGCATGTGAAGGTGTGCAGAGATTTCTTTGAGCTGTACATAATTGTGGGATGGTTTTTCTTTGTCTGTTTGTTTTGTTTTAGCTTGGTTCTACAGCCATTGGCATCCAGACATCAGAAGGTGTGTGTCTAGCTGTGGAGAAGAGAATTACCTCCCCACTAATGGAGCCTAGCAGCATTGAGAAAATTGTAGAGATTGATGCTCATATAGGTAAGTAATAAGTGGAAGCTATTATAGGATCTGGTGTGGGTTAATTAATCTGTGATCCAAAGGAGGTTCACACAGCAAGTGGCTTATCTTCTGATTCGCTATTATTGTCAAGGCAGGAGGCCAGTGTACATAAATTTATGCAGTAGAGAGCAGTCTCAGGACTTAGTTATGCTTAGCCTACTACCAGAAATTATTTTTTTAAGACATTTATTTATTATGTATATATTATTGTGCCAGCATGTACACCTGCACACCAGAAGAGAGCACCAGATCTCATTATAGATGGTTGTGAGCCACCATGTGGTTGCTGGGAATTGAACTTAAGATCTTGGGAAGAATAGTCAGTGCCCTTAACCCCTGAGCCATCTCTCCAGCCCCCAGAAATTCTTTTCATTTTCAAATTTGTTTTATTTTACTTTGTGTAGTGCTTGGAAATGAACCCAGATACTCTCACATTGTAGGCAAGCATTCCACCTCTGAACTAGAACCCAACCTTTGACAAATGTGGTTTTGAAATACACAATGATTGGGTCTTAAGGCTAGTTCTTATGATTGTTGTGTTTTCATTGATGTGTGGTAGTGAGTTAGCTGGAACTGATATAGTGTGGAAAGTTGTGATGTCTACTAAAAAAAGAGTAATTCTCAACAATTTTTGGAGTTTGAAAGGTTCAGAGTGTTGGAGGAATCATAGCAATTTTGACCAGATCAACCCTATTCCTGTATGTTAGACTTAACTCTTTTCCTCCTGGCCCTCGCTACCCTTCTTTCTCTGGCCTTTAGTATAATTTTCTTGCTTTGGCTCTTGACAATGTAGCATTAAAAGATGTAGGACTTTTACATTTACAGCTTTGTGTTGTAGTTGACTGTCCAAATTGCTTATCTTACCTACTCAACCTATTAATACAACATTTGCAAAGTAATTAATTGCTCAAAGGCCATAAGAACTACATGCCATGGTAACTGGGAGCTTAGTATTCTCTTTCACAGCTAGAGAAATAGATCTTACAGTTGGAATGTATGTCTGCTGTATCTCAGGTAGTGGTCTGTGGAGGTAGTTCACTGTCACTGCGTTCAACAAACAGGAAACATTGTTCCAGACTCCATAGGTATACACAGGAAGGAGACATGGTACTTGTCTTCCAGTAACTGATGGTCTTATTCATGGTCTTGCACAGTGTGCGCTCAGTAAGGATGTGAAGGAGGAACAAGTTTTGTCTGGATTCAGGAGCCATGAGTATTAGTTACTTTTCTGCACTGCGACCATGTATCTCACAACTTAAAAACAGGAACCTTTCTTTCAGCTCCCCACAGTTTTACAGGGTTCACCATCATCATGGTGAAAGCAGTAATGACCATCTACATTCACATTGGAGTAGGCCAAGAGTAGAGAACGTGCTGGTGATGGCTCCTGGCTTCCTCCTTTTTCTCATTCTACCCGTGGCTGTGGCCCTGCCACCCACATTGTAAGTGGGTCTTCCTGATTTAGTCAGTCTTTTGAAGCGCCTCAGACGTACCAAGAAGCATTGCCTCAATCTCCCCTGTGAGTCTAACTCCTGTTGAAAGTGAAGATTAACCAACATGGTTGATCTTGCCAAGCCTGGCAGCTCAGGCCTGTAATTTCAGCCACTGGGAGGCTGAGCAGCAACACTACAGTCAGTCAGGGTTACAAAATGAGTTCAAGGCCAGCCTGGGCAACTTAGGGAAGACTGTGTTACAGAATAAAAAATAAGAGTAGGGCTGGAAATAGGTGTAGCTCAGTGAAGGAACACGCACAGTAGCAAAGCTGCGTTTAAATGGAAGCGGCATAAATAATTCAGTGTGACTGGGAGGCGCACATGATGTGGCGAGTCTGGGGTCAGAGAGTAGAAAGTTCTTTTTCCCTTAATCCTGCTAAAGGGCGTGGGCTTTATTCTTGCATGGCTAAAGGGATCTAAACAGTGGGCCACTGCAATGTCATTCTCATGGCAGTTTTCGAAGGTAGGTTGATGGGGCTGAGGATGGAGGCAGGGGAATCAACAGTTGAAACATTTGTTAAGACGGGCACAGTGGCACATGCCTATAATCCCAGCACTCTGGGATGCAGAGGCTGGTGGGCCTCTCCTAGTTCAAGGTCTGCCTAGTCTACAAAGTGAAGGCTACACAGAAAAACCCTGTCTCCAAAAAAATTTTTTTAAATGATTTTTGGCAACATACATTCTAAAATTTGAATGATACAAGGAAAATTAATATGGCCCCTGTGTAAGGATGACATGCAAATTCATTAAGTGTTGTATTTAGAAAAAGGTAATAAGAATTTTCTAATAGCTCAAAAATATTTAGCCATCAGTCAGATGATGAAATTCTTCAATCAGGGCAGTGGCCAAAAGAGAACTTGGGATCTGATTGGTTGTGAAGGCCAAGGAAGAAGAGGGTTTCCAGAAGGGAAGTTGTTTGAGACAGTGGTATCCAAGGTGATGTCATTAGATTTTATAGGTCTGAAACTTTGGAGAGAAACCCAGGCTGAGACTGAGATTTGAATTATGGCATATAAGTAGCAATTATAGCAATACGTAGCCATAACCCTGGCACACTGAGCCATCAGCAAACTTTATCTCTAAAATGACTAATTGTTGTGTTGGTGGCTGAAAAGGCGTTTGGTGTGATTCTGAGGTCTCCTGTGCAGTCCATAGTGAGGTAGTTTTTCTCTCAGGTTTGGTTGTATTGTTTGCTTATCTCAGAAGTGCATCATGAGGCCAGCGAGGTGGTCCAGTAAGTAAAGGCACTTGCCAAATAATCCTGCTGACCACAGTTCCATCCCTGGAACTCATGTAAAAGGTGAAAAAGAGAACTGAGTCAACAAGCATTGCATGTATACTGGGACCTGTCCACATGCTCTCACACTGCACACACCACAGGCACAGACAAGCTAACGATAAAAACAGATGTCAGGTGCATCATGCTGTAAAATTTCCTGGAGAAATTCTTAGGTTGTAATATGTGGAAATTCGTGTTTGATTGACTTCACTGTCACCATGGATGGTTTTCTGTTTGTTTCATCATTATACCTATATTCAGTGGTCACCATTTGCCATTTATTCTATTGGGTTTATTGCTATGAGATTGTTGTTATGGCTCCAGGCCAGGTTTGCAGTATTTACTCAGTGGGTGAAAAGTTCTCGATGTTTTTGGCCAATTGGTCACTGTTGCTTTTCCATTGCAGGTTGTGCCATGAGTGGGCTAATTGCTGATGCTAAAACGTTAATTGATAAAGCCAGAGTGGAGACACAGGTAAAGTCAGCGTCTTCTCTGCTTTTTACTGTGATGCATGTGCTCCTTGTTTAGTGATGACAGAGCCACCAGGCTACATTGCAGGTGTCTGTGCTGCTATTAGACGTGGCTCTTGGAAGTAATGTGGGTCCATTCCTCTGGTAAGACCCTCAGGACCTAGGATCTAGCTCTCCAGCCACTGTGACTTAAAGCAGGCTCTGGTCAGTAGAGTCTACAGTCTCTTGCTTCTTCCAGGCGCACCTTACATAGAGCATGCACCCCTGCTGGATGTTCTGTGGGAGCATCGTAGTGGGATGTGGTCATAGTAAAAGGCAGCTGCCTTTTCGTCAGGATTATAAAATTGTTCTCATCTGGTTAGCAATGATTTGTACCAAGTAAAAAGTACTGGTTAGGAGTGGTGATTTTCTTTAATAAAACAACGAAAACCCACAAACATCCTTATGTATCTGTGTTTTGGCTGCAGTAGGCTAGTAGGAAAAAATTAATGACAAGGGTGACGGTATTATACTTACTTTCAAATTTGTCCTCCATACTTCCATAAGAATAATTTAACAAACTAACTGGGTAAGATGAGTATTTAAAAAGACTGACACTTAAACAAACAAACAAACAAAACTGACACTTGGTTACCAGCACTGACTTTGTGAAAAGATCAACTTGCTGCTTTGCTCTTAGGTGTAAATCCTAATTTGCAAGGATAGCAGCCTCTTAAGTCCTTATTTCCAGAGCTTATCCTTGTGCACATGTGTGTGTTATCTCTCTGTCCTCTTCACCCCTTCATTTTTTCTGCTCTTTCTTGAGACAGTCTTTCTGTGAACCTTGCAGACTGGCCTTGAACTCACCATCTTCCTGAGTGCAGGGATCACAGGCATGTGCCATAGCACCTGGCACTCAGCTGTTCCTCTTCTGATACAGTCCCAAGCACTCAGTGGCTGGTGTTAATCAAGGATGTGTTGATCTGGGCAGGTGATCTGTCTAGTGCTAGCTCTCGGGAGCCTGAGGTGGGAGGATTGCAAGTTCTAGGTCTGTGGTAGATAGTGAGACCCTGTCCCGGAAGAGGTATTGTGATCCTGTGGTTTTGCCTGGGAGAGAGGTGGTGGTCAGTGTGAGTTTCCTTCTTTCCAGGAAGCAGTACCATTTTTTGCCCTTTTTCTAGAACCACTGGTTCACCTATAATGAGACAATGACGGTGGAGAGTGTGACTCAGGCTGTGTCCAATCTGGCTTTGCAGTTTGGAGAGGAGGACGCAGACCCAGGTGCCATGGTGAGTTAGTCCTGATGCTCGTGCTGCGCCTTAGCTCTTCTGTAGGACTGAGGACGTTTATCCGCACGTGTCTGTGTGGACTCACTATTTGTAGCCTCTTCTAAATTAATTCCTTTTCATTCTAGTCTCGTCCCTTTGGAGTGGCATTGTTGTTTGGAGGAGTTGATGAGAAAGGACCCCAACTGTAAGTACCATTACCCTCCTGCTTTGGGGGTGGGATAGTGGTGATCATTGTAATTTGAAATGAAGTCTAGTAGTGCAGATCAACTCAGAAGTTTACTGAAGAGCTGGAAAGGATTAGAGATGTAGCTCATTTGGTAGGGTGCTTGCCTAGTATACACGAAGCCCTAGGTTCCATCTTGCTGCAACATCAAACCAATGTGGTGGAGTAGGCCTTATGCTCCTAGTACTCTGCTACAGTGACTTCCAGGTCTGAGCCACTCTGTTTAGTTTGTTTTAAAAGGAAAGAAACAGCCAGGTAGTGGCAGCTCATGCCTTTAATTCCTTGGGAGGTAATGGCAGGCAGATCTACATGAGTTTGGGGCCAGTCTGATCTACAGAGCAAGTTCCAGGACAGCCAGGGCTACACAGAAAAACCTTGTCTCAAAAAACCAACTGACCAACTGATTGATAGATAGATAGATAGATAGATAGATAGATAGATAGATAGATAGATAGATAGATAGAATAAAAAATAAAAGGAAAAAATAATTAGGGGAAAAGTATGGCTCTGAGCTAGTGTTTCTGTGCTGTTTGTACCAGAATTTGGGGATCCATGAGTAAAACCTCTGTACAACCAGTGCTACTTCTCAGAAGAATTAGAAGTTGACTTATTGCTATTACTGTCTGATCCTCATTGCCACATTACTGTCTGAAAGATAAGAGTGACACAGGTGTACATAAATACCGTGGTCATTCTCCTGTTGATGTCTTAGGCATACGTAAGTGCCATGGTTATGCATGCTCACTCTGTCCTTCTCATCCTGTACCCCAAGGAAGTTACTGAGTTTCTTAACGTTTTCTTTTTTTAATATGATTTTAATATTTAAATTTGAATCTTAAATAAGAATTTTTTGGTTAGCACACAAAATGGGTTTATTGTAACATTCCCATGTGTAGCAGATGTATATGTCCTTAGGACCTTTTAAAAGAACTTCTTTAAAAACAGAGTCTTTATGCTTCAGTATTTCAGTGGCATGTTCTGGCTGCACAGTAAAATGCTTAGACTTCTTTTAGTGAGGCATTTGTGGCGTAAGATACCCTCTTAAGCATTATTGTCCTTTTCAGGTTCCACATGGACCCGTCTGGAACCTTTGTACAGTGTGATGCTCGAGCAATTGGCTCTGCTTCAGAGGGTGCCCAGAGCTCCTTGCAAGAAGTTTACCACAAGGTAATCAACCATTCTCACAACTTTTACCATAATTTTTAAAGTTGGTTTTTAATTTCTCTGTAACTCAAATTGTAGACCTGAAGGGTTTTATTTACGTTTCGACAGTTGTGTGCCACCTTGGAGTCACAACCTAAAAACAGACATAGAACACTGTTTCTCTGCCAAAATGGTCTACTTACTGATCCTTCTTGTTTGCAACTGTGTTTACCAGTATAGAGTCGTTTGTTCTGTACTTTCATAAGTGAAATTAATACAGCTTGTCGTTTTGGTTGTTGTGAGTTCATGCTGGAATCAGCCAGGGCTTTCCACGCTAACATGCTCTTTTTTAGTTTTTGAGACAGGTTTCTCTGTGTAGTCGAAGATGTCCTGGGACTTGCTAAGTAGACCAGACTGGCCTCAAACTTGCCGAGATCCCATTACCTCTGGCCCCCTAGTGCTGGGATTAAAGGCATACACCGCCAGGCCCAGATATCATGTTGTACTGATAGTTTTGTTTTTGTTTTTGCTGAATAATGTGCCGTTATATGACTATGGCACAGTGTTTGCCCTCCAGCCTCACAGTTTTGCTTAGCAGTTGATAATGCCTTGTGTGGATATTGAGGCAAGTGAGCAATTGATACTTTCTGGAATGGGAAGGTGTGGGGTTTTTGCAAGTCATGACTATGATTGAAGGCCGCCATGCCCAGGTGGTTCACATAGGGATGTGTGCCCACGTCAACATCCAACACGGCATGCTTAAGAGGTATTTTGGGTTTGGCATATATAAGTCTGTACCAAAGCTATGTTTACATTATACTGTAATCTACTAATACAATTATGTTAGTTATTTCTCTGTTGCTGTGATAGAACATTGTGACCAAGGCAAGAATTTACTTGGGCTTATGGTTTCAGAGGGATAAGAGGCCATCATGATGGGGAGGCATAGCAGCAAGTAGCAGGCATAGCTGCAGGAGCAGGAAGTTGAGCGCTCATGTCCTCAATGCAAGCACAGAGCAGAGAGAGCAAACTGGAAATAGGATGAGGCTCTAAGCGCACAAAGCTTGCCCGCAGTGAGCACTTGCCCCAGGAAGGCTGCACCTACTAAAGCTCCCCAAATAGTGCCACCAGCTGTGGACGGAGGACTCGCTATCAAGGCCTGTGGGGAACAGTGCTCATTCAAACCACCAGTGTGTGAAAGCGTCGTCTTTCAAAGATTGTCATAGTGTAATTACAGGTTTTTGTTTTGTTTTTTTCTTTTGTATTACTAAAAATGATGATAATCATCTGCGCCTTTAGAAAATTGCAATTCTTTTGCTGTGGAACTTCTTGGCCTGTGGCTGCTGAGGTTGGAGTGGCTGTGACAACTTCTTAAAGGGATA